GGGTGCTCAGGCACTGGGATATTGCCCACGGAGGTGGTGGAGTCACCGTCCCTGGAGATGTTTAAGAGGCATCTGGATCTGGAGGATATAGAGTTTAGGTCAGTAGTGACAGGTTAATGGTTGGACTTGGTGATCTTAGTGTGTCCTCCAACCTTGATGGTTCTATGATCAGGAATCACAGAATCACTGACGTTGAAAAAGACTTCCAAGATCACAGATTGTTAAGAGGTTGGAATGGAGCTTAGAGATCATCCAGCCCCAACCCCCTGCCCTGGGCAGGGACACCTCCCACCAGAGCAGGTTGCTCAAGGCTTTAGCCAACCTGGCTGTGAACACTGCCAGGGTTGGGGCAGCCACAGCCTCCCTGGGCAGCCTGGGCCAGTGTCTCAGCACCTGCACAGGGTAAATCTCTTCCTGATATCCAATCTAAATATACATCTTTCAATTTCTCCCCATGACTCCTTGTCCTGTCACTGCAGTTCCTAACACAGAGTCCCTCTGCAGCTTCCCTGGAGCCCCTTCAGCTCCTGGCAGGTTACTCAGAGGTCTTCACACAACCTTCTCTGCTCCAGGCTGAACAGCCCCAACTCTCTGAGCCTGTCTTCATAGGGAAGGTGCTCCATCTCTCTCATCAGCTTTGTGACCTCCTCTGGACTTGCTCCAACTGTTCCATGTCCTTGTGATGTTGGGGACCCCAGACCTGTGTGCAGGACTTGAGGTGGGTCTAACAAGAGCAGAGCAATGGGACATCATAAAGTCCAACCTGTGACCTAACCCCACAATGTCACTAAGTGCCAAGTCCAGTCCATCCTTATACTAAATCCAATTTAAAACCAAACCAACCCCTGAGTATTTCCCATCTGGATATTGTCTGGCAACAAACAAACTGTGCTTTTCCTCAAGAATTTCCATCTTTACCTACAAAACACATCTCTCCTGGACCTGCCCCTCAAAGCTTTGTGACCCAGGGAAAAAGGCCTAGGAGAACCTCTGCTGCTCACAGCACTAACCTGGCTCAGGAGGGGCAGAAATTTACCATTAATCTTCATGTTCCTCAGGTATTTAAGCAGCTGATGGTGAAAAAATATACAGAAAAGAAGCTTTATTTCGCATTTTCAAGTATTACATGCACTTTCAAAAATTAAAACTCTTTATTTAAACATCTCAATAGCATCTTGTCAGTTTGGAGGCAGCAAAGAATAACATTGACATTTCCAAAAGCATTTACAAAAATACATTGCACAAAGTCCTATCTTGCTTTTTTGTCTTTTAAAAATAAGTTAGTGTTATTCAAAATATTCCCCTTCCCCCCCAACCCCTTCTAGCTACCTAATTTCAATTTATACAGGATAATTCTAATTTTAAATAGGTAAATCATATGAAAACACCTGTACAATGTGTCATCTACTGCTCTGCGTAGGCCATAGGTTGTATCTCTAAGGTCAAGTGAAAAAACAAACAGTTCTTCACATGGAGACTTTGTATTTCAAACATTCAGGACTGTTGTGCAACATACATCAAACTCTAGTCAGAAAACCAGTCAGCAGGTCCATGTGGTAACAGTTCTCCAGGGGGAACTAGAAAATGCCACTAAGAACAGCAAAGATAAAAGTTTTGTATCTAAGTCAAGTTTAGGAATCTTTTTTTTTTTTTTTTGGAGAAGGATCTTTGAAGCAGCAGTGCTAAAGGGGCAATGAGCAGTTTCATCTCCTCCTCCATGAAAATGTTGCTCCAAGGGCAACTCTAATCAGATCTCAGACCCAGCTAAGGCTTGTGGGGAGGATGAGGAATGCCCAAATGTCTGCACACAGCAGTGCTGAGCACAAGTCCCTCTTGGAACTGTGACCTAGTGAGGATTACCTTGTGTTTGCCACACACTGAATCCTCCAGTGCATTTATGGAGTGTAACAACAAACCAGTCTAAGGAATTCTCGTCCCAAAGAGATTGCTTTGGAAAAATTAATACTCTTTAATTGCTGTATCTATGTTCATTGAGCCATTTAGCTTATAGCTCCAATCCAGTCAGTCAGTCCATCAGGGTTCATTTGGAATTGACACAAAAAAAAAAAAAAAAAAAAAGAACAAACTGGCCAAGCTGGCAATAAACCCCCTTGAAATACCTTCAGTTACACCAAGATATCCCTGACTTCTAGAGCAATTCACAGCCACAAATGACAGTAAAGCATTCTCAGTCGCTGGTGTTTAAACTGGTTTTGGTTGTGTTAGCTTTCCCTGACAGTAGTATTTATTATAGTTAACATGTATCAAAGAAGCCCTTTTGGATCCACCAGAAAAGGTCAAACCCAAGGGGTCAACTGAAGGACACCTTTAGCCACAAACAAGTCAGTGTTCAAAATGTACCACAGTTTTTGGCTTTGTGGTGCCCAAACTAGCAGAAAGGATGCAAGTTGAATCCTGGATTAAAAAAGAACAGATTCCTAGTTGCAGAAAGTGTGGTTTTATTCTTTTTAAAAAAACCTATACATTCATTTGTAATAAAATATGTGTCACCTGTTTGCCAACTGGGCTTTATGAACCAGAGCCATTTGCATGCAGTTATGTCTCTCAGCATGGACACAAAAAAATAGGAAGCAAACTGGCAATTACAAGCTGAGCATTAGAGCAAATAAAAATTGGGGTTTATACAGTTCTGCTGACAGTCTTCTGTCTTCATCAGAGGAGCAAGAGTTCTGCAGTGGATAGCCTGCATCCTCCTCCTGTACGGATTGCAGTGTCCTAGGCTTCCTGGTATATACAAATGAGGAACAAAATGTACAGCAAAGCAGCCCCAGGTGTAGTGTGGATTACTCTGCAGGTCTCCCATGCACTCTGAACCGATAAAGGCAGGTGTACTCTGGATGGCCCCAGTTGGAGAAAATCCTCAGTTCCACTATCTGGAATGAATCTTCACTTTTCTCCTGGAGAAGGGAAAAAGCAAACACACCAACCAGAGTTAGGGTTCTAGTATAAACAGCTGCACCTGAAGCTTTCTTAGTTTCATAGGATGTTAAGGGGTTGGAATGGAGCTTAGAGATCATCCAGCCCCAACCCCTGCCCTGGGCAGGGACACCTCCCACCAGAGCAGGTTGCTCAAGGCTTTAGCCAACCTGGCTGTGAACACTGCCAGGGTTGGGGCAGCCACAGCCTCCCTGGGCAACCTGGGCCAGCAACTCCTCCTACAAATATCACTGATAATCAAGTCCTGCCTTGGGAACTCTGCCTCTTTGACCAGAGCCTTCCTTGCCTTACAACTGGTTATCTGAAGCACTGAAGTATGAAACAGACTCTTCAGATGTTTAGCCACTTCACACCATTTGTGCCCAGCTGGCACAAACATCTGATCCATTTAGGCCATAGGTTTTGAGGCAGAAGTACTTTCTACCTCAGCTTCTACAGTGCCCAACAGAGCATGAGACCTTTTCCCTTCACTGCTCATTGCACACAACCACAGAAAATACAAGTATCTTTCTCCTGCCACTTTGAATCTGATCATCCAGACTTACCATCACTGGAAACATCTGCAGTGGTTCTCCTTCCTGATCATAGACATACTCCCCTAGAAGCTTGCCTTCTTCTTGATACTCATCCTCCAGACCCTGCAACAACAGGATAAAGGTTTTTACTTCCCTCAACTTTGCAATCAAACCAAAACCAGAGGCACATCTACGTAACAGTATCAACAGACAGAGCTCACAGGTCTATCAAGCCAAGAGCAGAATGTTTCCCATGTAATCTAAAGTTCAAGCAAAGCTCTGTATTCCTCTTTCCTGCACTGCAAATCGTTGTGCTGTTTGTATGTCATGGTTAACCCCCACAGCAAACCCCTTATTACAGTGTACAATATAATCTGCTCAGGACAAACAAGAATGAGACAACATCAAGGTTATAAAGAAGACAAGATTCAGATGTTTGCACATGACTATTTAAGCATTCAAAAGAGCTAGACAAGAAGTTCTCAGGCATCAGAACTATCCTCTGATGTAGCTGTGGTCTCTCTGCCACAACTGTGGTGCTGGTTAGAGTAATTCAAATGAAGATTTAAGGTGATGAGAGAACACAGGGGTGGGGATAGAGGGAAAATATGAAACAATTATAGAATCACAGAATTGTTCAGGCTGGGCTGGAAGATAAAGATCATCTAGTTCCAACCCTCCTGCCATGGACAAGGACACACAGTCAGGCTGGCAGGGACCACAATGGGTCATCTGGTCCAATGCAGAGTGTTTGAAGGAACTGTATCAAATTAAAACTCATTATCTCCCTCCCAAAATGTTTACTACTGTATAAAACAAGAGTAAAGAAACAACTCCCTCCAAAATTAGTTATAACTTCTGTTACTCCTAATCTCAAAGCTCATAAAAAAACCCAAAACACAGTCAGGCTGGCAGGGACCACAATGGGTCATCTGGTCCAATGCAGAGTGTTTGAAGGAACTGTATCAAATTAAAACTCATTATCTCCCTCCCAAAATGTTTACTACTGTATAAAACAAGAGTAAAGAAACAACTCCCTCCAAAATTAGTTATAACTTCTGTTACTCCTAATCTCAAAGCTCATAAAAAAACCCAAACACCAATTTTAAGAGCCACGACTGAAGGAGTTTATCATCTTCTTAGCTGTCCTCCCTCAAGTCATTCTTTTCTGAGGTATGTAACACAAACATTCTTTCTGCACACAAACATCAACTGTATTCAGAGACTGACTTACATAGACTGAAAAATTCCTAGGAGCACTGGTGATATTTCCTGTGGGTGAAAGTGTTTTTGGTATGTGTTCCACTGTAAAGGCAGTTGGATAGATCTTCATGGAAAGTCTAACTACAAGATAGCCCTGGGATCCTTTGAAGGCCCAGCAGTTTCCTGGGTACATGTCCGGCTAGATGGGAGAAAGGTGGAGAGAACAAGATGGGACACAACAACAGAAACAACCCACAAGTGTTTTGTAATAATTTACTTTTTGTAAGAAAAAGTTGTAATGAATTATTAGGGACAGGCTTGGATAGAAAGTGCCAGAACTCATCTCCTTGGTAGAACTCTTCAGGAGGACACCACATCCACCTCAGCTACCAGAGTGTTTTGAAGACCCACTTGGAGATGACATTCCAACAGGAACCCTCCCAGTACTCTGCACAAGTCCAATGCACCAGCCAAGCCTCCTAGAGAGGTCTAAAGTTTGCTAGAGTAGGACTTGAGCTGTGTGCAGGGACTACCAGAAGAATCCCACTCTTGAGAACAAGATATATATTCCAGACAGATACACTCAGCATCTCAAAACCAATCCAAACCACCCAACACAAAATGTTGCTGAATTTGTTTATTCAGCCTTTAATTACCTGAATCACCACTCTGGGAGACTGAGAGAAGTACCACAGAGGAATTCCAAAGAGGCTAATTAATGCTGTCTTGGTCTCATAGGTTTCAGAGCAGCGAGTGCTCAGAATGCTGCCACCTCAAAAAAGATAGAGCAGGTTAGCAGAAGTAATTACTCATTTCTTCCAGAAGACTTTATAATCTGGCATTATAAAGCTTAATGAATGCCAGATTAAAGACAGTGTCAAGATCTACTCATTTTCTGGGGTTACAAAGTTTCTATCAAGTACAGTGTTATTCTAAGAACATGTTAAAGGTTTTTCACTTCTCTCTTAGCCAGTTGTAGACATGGTGAGAACTGTTCTATCCCTGTCTGTGCACACCTAGGCTGATACATAGCCCTGCAAACAGCACAGATTGCTGTCATCTGATGATCAGGCAAACACCCAAGGAAGCTCTACTAAGCTCTAGTCTTCATTGTAAGATTTCTAGTAAATTCTACTAAAAACATGCAGAGTAAAAATGGTGTTTCCACCACTACTTACCTCCAGACTCCAAGGCAAAATCCACCATACCAGTCTTGTCTTGAGAGTAGAGTTTCAGTGCATTGTTTACAATAATCTGTGCTTGCTGCAGGTGTATACAGAGAACAGAGAAACATTTTAGTAAGACTAAGTGATAAAATAATGGATAAATACATATGTGAAATTGCATCTTTCTGAGGTGCTGCACTACAGCACAACTCTTTGAAAGCCACTTTGAATGCATGGTTGTCTGTCTTAAAATACAAAGTCATACTGCATCTTGACTGCTGTTTTCTTTCAAAGCTGCATTCTTTCTCCCACCTTCCCAAGCCCCTGAGCTGCTTTGCTTTGGTTTACTTGTTTCTTGGTAACTCTTCATGCCAGATAACACATTGTGAAAAACCACAAACGTTCACAACGGGCAACAAGCAATGCTGTAAAGGAGACACCTGATAAAGCATTTCCTGTACTTTTCCTCATTTTAATTCATGTTCCTGGCAACTCTTAAGATCTTAACACTTATGCTGACAGCCATACTCCACAAAATACCTGAGAAACTCTTTACAGTCTTAGTTGAAGCACCAAGAGCTTAAAGTCACTCACCGCCTCTGTGATGCCGGAGATCCCTGCGTTACTCACGGCACTGGTGACCACTTCAGATGTTACTTTTTGGTTGGTAACAGACATATGCAGAGTAATGTTCTTGAGGATCTGCAACTCCAGATCCTGCAGCAAAGTCTGCAGATCACTTTTGCTCACAAAATTGGATGTAAGCCACTGGAGAAGTGATTCAGGAAGGTCTTCTTGATGGTCACCAAAAAGCATTAGCTTGACAGATTCCCTGACCTGAGCATCTACCTGGAGGAGACATTAATAATTGTAATAGAAATTGTTAGGCTTTATAAACTGTGAAGTAATACTATATACATACACATAATGTACCTATTGCCTGTTACATATTTGAGGGTTATCACAACGTGGTATTTAAGTCAAAGCTGGTAATTCCATACCAACACTCACTGCTGTATTGCCTAAGGTATGTTCTAATCAGACTTTATGAGAAGTTCCAAAAGAACCTGAGCCTGATGTTTTTTAACAGCTCCCAGATAGCAAACCCAACTTGCTTTTACAGTTTTTTAAGTTTAACCTTTTTAAGTTTCTTTTCCACATTTCCATGGGTTAGTAAAATGTACTAGGAAGAACAAGGTACTGCACAGAGAACTGCTATTGCATCATAACTGCAATGCAAACCTCCTGCCATTGTGGCAAACAAGCCATAAACTCGGGTCCAGGAAAATGTAACTAATGGAAAAATCCACAGTACTCCTACATGAAACACCTTTAGTGTGATAATAAAACACCATTAAGATTAATCCTACCTCCACATTACTCACTGTAGTACACTTCAAGTAAGTTAGTGAACAAAAATCAAGCAGTACCAAGTTTGACAGGGACAGTTAAAGAAGGTGCAGAACTTACTTTATCATGAATGACATCGATTTTCTCACAACTCGTCTTCACACTTGCCCCAGACAACAGCTCTGACTTCATCTGAGCCAACTCCAGCTCCAGACTTTTAATTTTGGACATAAGTTGACTGTGTTGAGCATCATCTCTGACAAAAAAAAACCCCAGGAGTCAGTAATTAGCAAAGAGTAGTTTGAATCATCCATCACATTCCAAAGGTGTGAGGATGTATTTCTGTAATACAAAGCGCTTTCCTGGCTCAGCTATGCACCAGGAAACACATTGGGAACTTGCAGTTCTTGGCAGATGTTATTTAAGACATATTTGGAATTAATCTATTCAAAGCAAAGACTTGGAAGTTGTGGACAAATCCAGCAGTGATGACTTCACCAGGCTGACAAGTCAATAGCTCAGACATATAGATTTGGGGAACTTCAAGGTTTCTGGCAAACCAGTCAAACTTCATTTGTATGAGTTTCCCACTGGTTGGAGGAACTTTCCACTTTACCCAAACCAGAGTAACTTCAGAGGGAGGTGCTGAGTTAAAGCAGCAGGTCCCATATAACCACCACAGATCAGTGTTCAGTGCATGCCATGGAAAAGTATCAGGCTTCATTCTAAAGCCATTTTACATTGAGTTCTAATTTAAATGACAATTCAGCAAATCATCCTCTAAATGGGGAACCTACTTAGTGAAGTGCTGGAGTTTGGTACTATGCAGTACAGCTGACAAGCCAAAAACAAAGGCTAGAAGTGATACAAGTCAAGGATTTAAATATAAAGCAACTGCTTTATGACTTCACTAAGTGATTTGAGGGAAAAATCTAACGGATTTGTAAGAAATCACTCATTCTCCTCCACTATATAAACAACTTTCTCCAGTAGCAATGTTGCTGTGGAGTTCCCCAAACCCTGGACTTGTGCTGATGTTCAGCATCACAGCTGAAATCTGCTGTAAGACAGTAGTGCTCCTGCTGCCAATGCAACTCTCAGGGTCAGTCAAGTGACACAAGGCAAAGGATTGTTGTAGTGAAAAGAACAGGACATACATCACTGTCAGCATCTGGGCTGATAAAGCAAAATAGACTTGAAAACTGCTTATACCTCACTGTTTTTGTTTTGGCTAGGTCAAGCTCCTTCTGGATGTCCTAAAAAAACACAAAAAATGGTTTTAACATACACAAAGAAACACAAGTGACAGAAAGAGGGTAAAGAATGGTAAATGAACAGAATTTAGCACCACCTGTACAGGACACTGTGCTCACATTTGTGTTTGTGCCTCTGTTATAATAAGGTTTTATTGCAAATAGAACCTGACTCAGGGGTCAAGTGAATAATCTTTAATCTTTGGACTGGAGAAGAGAAGGTTGTGTGGACACCTCAGAGCAACCCTCCAGGAGCTGAAGGGGCTCCAGGGAAGCTGCAGAGGGACTCTGTGTTAGGAGCTGCAGGGACAGGACAAGGAGTAATGGGGAGAAATTGAAAGAGGGAAATTTAGACTGGGTATCAGGAATAAGTTTTCCCTGTGAGGGTGATGAGACACTGTCCCAGGTTGCCCAGGGAGGCTGTGGCTGCCCCAACCCTGGCAGTGTTCCCAGCCAGGTTGGCTAAAGCCTTGAGCAGTGGGGGGTGTCCCTGCCCAGGGCAGGGGGTTGGGGCTGGATGATCTCTAAGCTCCATTCCAGCCCCTTCACATACTGTGATGATATGAAACCTCCTCCAAGTAAAAACACAAGTTCTGAGACTTAGGGAACTCTAATAGCCAGAGTAAAGGAATCTGGGCATTTGGGAATAGCAAAAAAAGCACTTAGCCTGTTTTATATGCAGGTTACAATTAGAACAACTCAGCACAGCTAATTTGCAATACCTTGGATTCAGCAGAGAGCTTTCCAAGCAGGTCTTCCAGTGTCAGGATACGCTGCTCATGCTCTTGATGCAAAGCCAGGAAGTCAGGCTTAAAAAACAGGGACAAAAAAGGGAGTGTTACTTTCTTTTGGTGTACAAATACCAAAACTGGTATTTTCTGCAAAGCATAGTTTTCATTTCATTCTGTGAATCTTTAAGTGATTTATCCTGCAGGTAGTGAGAAATTATAGGATCTGTAGAGTGAGAAGTGATAAAATCTGTAATAAATACAAGTCTGATCCAGCAGTAAGGGTCAGACACAGATGGAAGTTTATCACAACATCCCTGGCTGTCACTAGTCCTTCCTATAGTCTTCTTTATCTGTATGGAAACAGGATAAATCCAGCTGCTTTTCAGCAGTGTGAGAACCTCCTTTAGGACACCTGTCTGGCATTAATCCTTGGTCAGCAGTAACAAAGGAGGTACAAATGCCAGTGACTACTCCCTGGCATTTACTCCCTATCAGTTCACTCTGTAGCAGATAAAGAATCCCCCAGTCAAACCTCTAACAACCTGCATTGGGGAACCAGAACACTTCCATCAATAACTTACCCTTTCCTCCAATTTCATGTCTTTAATATATTGACTCGTCACAGTTTTTATTAACTTCACTGTTTCACTGTTGTCACTCATCTGGGCAACCTGATCTTGAAGGTTATGGAGCAGAAGCATCACTTTGTTGTATTCCTCATTCCGGTGGTGACATCTGTCAGACACGAAGGCCATTTGCTTTTCCAGCTCAGTTACACGACCAAAATCAAAGATGTTTATGGTATCCTAAGGTATAAAGAGTATTTTCTTTTAATATAAAAATCAAGACACCTATTTACATTACCCTCAGGGATTAAGAAGTTGTTGTGAAACATTGAAGACACGTGGATAAGATATGGGTGTTAAGAAGGTATGAGATCTTAAAAGATATGGAAGTTCTTCCCTAGATCATTCTCCCTTACCTTTGGAGGTTGCACAGAATGGAAAGACTCATCCTGTCGTTCAGGAACATGAACAGCATCATCAATCCTCTGTATTCTGTCAACTCTTGTCCAATTCAATGGAGGTAATAATGAAACAAAGCCATCAAACCCCCAGAACCATATACCTAGAGAAACAAAAAGCAATCAGGGTTCAAGAGAATTCCCCTCTCAGACTGTTTATTGTCTTCCTCCTTAAGGACACAAACCACCTTCAGTTTGCCAGGTACGACACAATGGACACTACTCCAGTCTAAATAAAAATCCCCATGAGTCAGCTTTAAAGTTGTTAAGTCAAGCACTCAAGAACATCAGGTAACATCCATCAGCACCACACTCACAGCTGTAAGGCAACTTGTGCTCATACATTATCCTTAATCTCCTCCTACTACTGCTTCCCTGGCACCTAGATCCCCTCCCTGACTAAGGCAGGCCATGCTTACTGCAGGCAGATGGAAATGCTGCTTTTTATCTCCATGGAAAACATGTTGCCTTATACCCCACTTACTGTGCACCACATTGCATAGGAGCTAATAAAAGTTAGCGCAAACTTCCATGGAAATAAAACAGCATTTCACAAGATTACACTGATTTTTGCAATATCTTGGTGAGAAGTAGCAGCATTTTCCACACAGGGTGAATTCTTCCTTCCTTATTTGCCCTCAGACAGAGGACTCTGAATTCCCACTGTAAGTTTCTGAGAAGCTTCATCACAAATTAGCTACAATGTTTTTAGGATGCACAAAGACATGGAAATGCTTTTCAGAATTGGCCAAGCACTTTGGGTGAATATTTTAAACCAAATTTATTTCAAAGCTGACATCTGGCCTGGAACACTGTCCACTAACCAGTCTAAATCAGCACTGTCTTAAGCATCTAAAGCATGGTCTGGAGCAAAGGGAAGACTTAGGATGAGCTGGTGAAAGAACTTAACCACGTTTTTATGGAGACTGACAACAATCAAAGCAATCAGTACACAGCTTACTCTTTATGACCTCGTTACTACTCCTATGAAGGGAGGCAAAGAAAGGACTTCAGTGCATTTCCTTACTCAGCCACTCTCTAAAGAGGTCTATGGAATTAAACCAAGGATATTCCTTTCACAGCAAGGGCAAAGCTCACTGACTTGTCAGTACTCTGGAAGCATCGATTACTGCCCTGTTCAGAAACAAACTTGCTCTTTTTTGCTTCTGCATCTTCTCCATAAGCCAACTAAACATGCTGGTTTGGAACTGCTGTAGTACATGCAGAGATCTGTATTGTAACTGAATGTTTCACATACCTAATAGAAACAGGAGTGGGATAAGAAACAGTAACGCCCTGTAGTTCTTTGGAAGGCATCTAGGGAAAGAAAGCAAAGTTGAAACAATACATTCACCATATTCTATTTTTTGTACTATAACTGGACAAATAACTTGCACACAAACCTATTTTTTTTCAAAGGATACACACCTTCTTAAAAGAAACACCTTGAGCATAGACATCAGAGTAACAAGTTGATACCACCCAGCTCTAAGCAACCTGAACATGCCAGAAGCTGCCCTCCCTAGAAGACAAAAAGTGGTAGAATACATTCACCATATTCTATTTTTTGTACTATAACTGGACAAATAACTTGCACACAAACCTATTTTTTTTCAAAGGATACACACCTTCTTAAAAGAAACACCTTGAGCATAGACATCAGAGTAACAAGTTGATACCACCCAGCTCTAAGCAACCTGAACATGCCAGAAGCTGCCCTCCCTAGAAGACAAAAAGTGGTAGTGTGAAATGTAATTACTGCAGCACATGTTCAAAGAAACCAAGCACAGGGACATGCAGCTGTGGGCAGCAATGCTCAGCAGAGCAGAGAAATGCAGGAGTATAGGCAATGCATGCAGTTATTGGCATCTAGATATCACAAGTAAGACTGTAATATCAGCTACTCAACAAACCCAACAGCCATGCAAGAGATGAAGGGCTCATTTGTTATGACAATGCTGTCTCACTGGAAATTCAGTACTAATGTTTGAACCCAAGTTATCACACACTGGACACGTCAACACGTTTCAGGAAACGCACAGGTTAGCAGCATCAGTTTTTGGTAAGAGGAATACCAATACAGCAAGTGACTCCCAAACCAAACACCCCCCATTATTCCTGACACCCCACTGTGTTATTCACAGATCATTCCCTCAGGAAACAGTCTCGTTAGTCTCCCATTCTGCCTGTGAACAGAAACATAGCCTCTCACGAAGCACATTTTGGTCAATAAAGTAGCACATGCCTTTCAAGATACCAAAGCCACAGCATTAGCACAGCTGAATTAGTGTAAGCCACACACTGCAGGTTCCTAGTGTGTCAGAAGGAACAGGCAATGCACACACACAGATTAGAGTAGTAACCTGGAGAAAGAATGGTCAGCCAAAGTAGGGACAACACCTTCTGAGACACAAGCCAGCACGTTGCTCCCACTGTTCTCAAGACGTGAAGTACAAAGTAACCTAAATTACAACAAATTAACTCCATGTGGTAACAGACACAAAGGAGCTGAAAGTTCTTTTCAGCATATGCAGTAAAACAGAGTCAATCCCCTGCCCATTAGATGTTCTGCAGAAATTTAAGCCGTACCTTTGAGTGATCTCAAACTTCTTCACTATTTAAAAGCAAAGCCACTAGTATATATGAAGCTAAGTAAAAGCAAGACAATTAGAAAGAGAATTCTCATGGACAAACACAATGATCAACAGCATCTGTGCAGTTAGAACATAACTGATCCAAAATCAAAATTAACAGTTTGTACCATGTTTCTCTAACAATGCCATGCTGAGTGCAGGAGAGAGTAGCAGGAGAGCAGTACCATAACCACAAGCTTTAAGCACGTTGTTACTTTCAAAGCATCTTATTTCTTCCAAGTGAATCACTGAGTTTGTTACCTGGGTTACTATGCAGAAGGAACAATTAAAAACATTAAATCCCAGTCAAAGAATTAAATAATGATGTCTTGGAAAATATGATCTCCTCTGCTAAAAGTTAGCAGCAGTAAATTTTCATTAAGCTCAATGTTCCCAAGGATCCTCAGCGTGAGTTTTGTGTCTCAAAGAGAGCAAAACCATCAACCCCAAATAGAAAAAAACCCACCCAATGTACTCTAACAAAATGCTGTAACTTAAACCCCACTGAGGCCAACAGTTACCACCTCCAAGGCTAGGACTGGTCATTCTACAGAGCAAACTAGGCAGTATGAGTTTAGGAAATAATCCTACAGTTTTAGAATAGCAGATATGTCTGGGTTGATTTTAGGGATTATTGATATACCAACCCAATGTTTTGCAAAGCATTTAGGTGACTGAAGGGTCTCAAACCATTTCCCTTTGCACTCAACTGACCCTTGATGCCTCTGCCACTCGAGCTAGGGAAAGCTCAGCCCACAGGGAAGATTCCATCCCTATATCCATTCCTGTAAAAATTGACTATCACTGGAATAAAAATGAAATGCTAAACCAATACCTCATACCTTGCTTTCATGTAAAGGCTTTTCAACCTCAAGCATACAGATCTCCCCCAAGTGCAATCAGTTAACAATCTGACTTGTTCTAACACACAAGGTGTGTCTATATGCTGTCCCTACACCTTTCACTAACAGCCAAGCAGCCTGCCAAGCTTGTACAAAAGCCAGAATCAGAGCAAGAAGTCAAACAGGAAAGGTGTTAATTAAGTTAGTTTTCTAGCCACTTTACACTTTTAACCCACTGTGATGAAGGTAGGGAAAAAAAACCCCAAGCACAAACCATCTATGATTAACATTGTGAGATTGTGATGCAAAATAAAAGCAAACAAAAAAAGGTCCAAGTCAACCTGCAGAAGAAAAGGTGTGCCAAATGGTCCTTGCTACACTTTTAGCCCATGAGGATTGCATGTGGTCTGTGGTGTACATTTCAAGATGTTTCTTCCCCTTACAGTCATCACCTGTTGGTCGTGGTAACAGTTGATTAATGGGACAATGCCAGGATAAAGCCAAGATCGTTACAAGACAACTTGTTCAAGTTTATTTCACAGCAGCAGTTATCAAACCAAAAACCACTAAGCAAATTCAGCATAATGGAATTCACTTGGGGAAATACTAGAGTACCCCAGGCCAGCACCTTTCACCCCTGCACCTCAGCTGCAAACCAAACATTTACTCTGTGGCCTCCACAGTATCAAGGGGTGTCTGATACAACTATTAGAGCAGCAACCCAAGGTTAAGAGACATCATCAATCACTGTACTTACATATGGATTCCTCACTGACCCCGAGATGACTATCTTCTCTGTAGAACTCCTTTACATTCATGCTTCCACAGTAGTCTGAGTGAGCTGCAACACATTCAAAAGGCACACATGGAACCCAGTTCTCAAGTACAAGGAATCTAATTCTCAAGTTCAAAGCCTTTCATATATACAGATTTTAGCCGAACTGGTTCACTATTGGTCAGGTTACTCACAAGAAACCTGAAAAGTGATCAAGGAAGAAGCTTGCTCTGAGCAATCTTACTGTTTCATATTTAATTATCAGGAGGGCTCTAAGTTAAAACATCATTCTGCTTCTTTTCAGATAGCAAAGTTTATTCAAAAATGCCCTAAGGAACAACTCATCAAATCCTGAGTTCCTGTCCCCAGCATTCTATCAAATGGGCCAAACTGTCACATCTTTGTGTTGGTTGTTAAAAGAAGGAGAAGAAAGCATTAGCAGGTTGTAAGGCAGAAAGAATGAGGAGAGCAAAGTTTCATTCACACACACAAATCAGTTACCTTCTGACCAAGGCAATCTAACTTCACTCTCATGTGCATTATCCAAGAGAAAGAACCAAAGAAAGGAGTGTTTCCAGGGAAAACAAGATGTGCTTTAGAGCAGTGCAGAGTGCTGATGGCAGTTTTAGTTTTGCAAGACAGATCTAACGAAGCCTTAAGTGCACAGCAGGTTTAAGAGTAACAAGATAGACCTAAAGACATAGGAGAGTTAGGATTTGACACTATCACATCAGTTTTTAAAGCCCAACATCAGTTTCTCAATTTAAAAATTACCTTCTACAAATTTCTAGTAAAAATCAACATGTGAATCCTAACCCTAACCTAGTAGGTGACTCCTAATACCTTCAAAAACAGAGGGGAAAGCATGGAAAGTGCAGCACAATTGAGGTAATAAAAAAAGGAGATAAATAATAATAAAAAGAGAGAAGACAGGAGCCAGCCAAAAGACTAGAGAAAAAGAACACAGTGCCAAAGGTGAAGTCATTAAGAAAGAAAGCCCAACAAACACACTGTGGCTTTGTGTGGAGGCCAAGGAAGACAACTGAAAAGGTACCTTTATGTTCATAACCCAACTTCAGCAAAACCATTTGAAAGAGTTGCACTAATAGTGATGCAAAAGATGCTGCAGTATGTTTGACCGATCGTAGGATCTTACTCATGTAGAAATAGGCTCCTCCTGGTGAAAAACACAGTGTGAATGCAAATTATTCAGCTGCAGAAAGGTGTAGTTCTGTTCTCTGCTCACCACCAGCTTGTGTAGAGTGAGGATAAAGCACAGAAAGCCTTTGTTTGGCCAAGAGTAGGACACTTAAGTGTGCTTGGAAAAGTGTGGATGCATTAGATATTACAGCAAAGCTTTTGGGAGAACTACACATCCACGGGATAATGACTTCAGGGCAGAATTTATGGCTTCAGCAAGAACACCTCTGCTTGGTGAGAATCAAGAACTCCAAATAACAATGAATTCATTGCTCAGGGAACTGGGGATTCCTCAATGACATCAGCTGCTGATACTGGTTTTGTGAGTCGCAGCTCCAAAAAGACAAACTCCATTCTTATTTTGGATTTCAAAGGGTGAGGACTTACCACCACCTCTGCAGTGGTCTGCCCCAAGGGCTGGAGACACATCCCTCTCCAGAGTCACAGGAACAAAGCCACAGTCCACCACTGCTGCTTTCCTAGACTGCTACATGCTACAAACCTGCCAAGACTATGTCCCTTTTCCCACCCACACACTTCCCAAGTTTAACTCAAACCTTTAGGTTACAGTTCAAAGGAACGTATAAGGATGAATAAAAGAAATAAAAAATCTCTTACGTGAACACAAACCCAGAGGCACAGAGTTTTCATGCAGTGTCAGAAGCAGTAGTTGACAGTGCCAACTCACAAGAACTCCAACCTGTGCTACAGGTTAACTCAACAGAAAGTTGCCTCACATCATAGAGCCCAAACAAACTGATTTCTTGCTACTGAAAACATTTCATTCAATAACGATAAATATACAGAATCCCCAAACTGGTGCCTTTTTAATTAAAGCCACTTATGAACCAAATTCTTCATGGTAACTGAGGACTACCAACAACCAAGGAACTCAAGATGCTGTGCAAGAGGCAAACAGTCCAGACACTGAGGACAACCATCCACTGAATGGAGATTGTCTTGGAAAGGCAGAAACTTACTTGCTCAGAAACATTTATTTTCAAGCTCTCAGAACTGAGTCATTAGGAAGACTATTTGGAATTAATTTTGTCCATTTGCAGTTCAATTTTTCATATAGTTGAGGTTTAGCTTCTAGAAACACTCTAGAAAGCTGCAAGATACATGAGGTTTCAACTGATACAGGAAAAGGTATTTCATATTAAGTGGTCTACAGAATTCAGTTATTGGTAAATTTAGCTGGGTAGGAAAAGTGCTTAAATAATACTTCATAGAAAATGAACCAACTGAAAGGACATGGAATAGTTGGAGCAAGTCCAGAGGAGGCCACAAGGCTGATAAAGACTGGAGCACCTCCCTGATGAAGACAGGCTGAGAGAGTTGGGGCTCTTCAGCCTGGAGAAGAGAAGGTTGTGTGGAGACCTCAGAGCAACCTGCCAGGAGCTGAAGGGGCTCCAGGGAAGCTGCAGAGGGACTCTGTGTTAGGAACTGCAGTGACAGGACAAGGGGCAATGGGTACAAATTTAAAGAGGGGAAATTTAAGTTAGACATTCAGCAGAAGTTTACCCTGGGAGGGTGGTGAGACACTGTCCCAGGTTGCCCTGGCAGTGTTCACAGCCAGGTTGGCTAAAGCCTTGAACAGCCTGCTCTGGTGGGAGGTGTCCCTGCCCAGGGGATGATCTCCAGGCTCCATTCCAGCCCCTTAACACAATCTGATACTGTGAACTGCATACCATTGTCTATCCCAATAATACACAAGAGACAGTGACTTACTAGCTGCACGTTTCTGGCTCCTGTCCCTAGTGTAAATCCTGGAGGATGGCACGGGAGAGGCTGAGTATGCTGTGAGGACCTCCTTCCTCTCAGACAGCATGCTGCAGTCACTGCAGGTGTAGCCGTTCATGGTGGTCTGTGTCTCAGCTGTTGCTATGTCACCATTTCCCTGCAGCAGTGTAGTGTCACTACCTGCCAAACAGAGAGCACAACACCCAACAGAGCCACATCAGTACTGCTGGGACCTGCTGCTGCTGCAGGAGTGGATGTGGAAGGGAAAGCAAAGAGGAGTTACCTTTAGGGTCACATTCTTCATCGAGACCTTCAAAGGAAAAGATAAAACAATTTGGTTCAGAACAGAAGAAAGTGCCATGATCATCTACAACATCTGACAAACTCCAAGTCCCACTAGTTTTAAGACTTCAAAGAAAGTCAGTTTATGACTAGCACTGAATACATCCTGCAGTTCACCATGAAGACATGCATCCATGTCAATGCAGCAGGGTAAGAGCTGTGAGAGCATCCTGCCGTGGAAGCAGCAGACAAAATAATATGAATGACAACTACACCTTTACTTAGCTCCCACGTGACCTTAAAGCAGCTAATTCCAAGCTTAGGGTGTTTCTGTTGCTTGGTAACTACTTTGATACTGCTGTATTTAAGATTCTGTTTTAAGAGGCAGGTAAATCTGAAGTGTAGAATAGCTTCACCAAGCCTGAAACAATTCCTGTCAGGACTCTGGAGAGGTCACAACAGACTGACTAGGATGGAGTAAGTTTGAATTTAGAGTTATAATAAATTGCTGATCTCCTGCACAACACTTTATGCAGATAATACTTTATGTAGACAGCTCCTGTATTATTCTCTTTGTTGAAGAAAGGAGGTTCCAGGACACTATACTTTTATATCCTTGCAAACCCAAACCAGCCACACAGAGAAACCCTTCTGGGGCATCCTCAAGTGCCACTGATTTGAAACTTTCAGCTGAAAGTATGTGAAGTTCAAAACAACATTTCTGCCTACAAGCAAAGAAGAAAATGCTTTTCCTTTGGCTTTTCAAAGACAAGTTACATGTTTGCCATTCTTTAAATACAGTACTCCACGTGCCTTTGGAGGAAAAACAGGAGACAGGAAGAAAGGGAGAGGAGATAATCTATATAACCTGTGGTGTGGCATCACAAAACTGTGTATGTTTGCAGGTGTGTTAACTTGACTGCAACGTGTCTGGATGCTGTCTATGCCAGATAATCAAGTTTACACACTGGACCATGAATTATCAGTGGGCATCTCAGCAAGACACCCACAGCAGAAGTAGAAGTACATGTTTTTCAGGGACAAGATGGAGAACAGGTAGGAAAAAGATCATACATTTACACACATCAAAACAGAAGCAGTTTCCACAGTTTGATACAAGCAATAGCAATCGTTGCTTACCCCAGAAATGATCAACTTGTGTCTGCTCTCGAATCAGAGACTCATCCAGTACAGTGGATACCATCGATGCATCACTGGCATGGCTATTGAAACTGCTTTGGCTAAACATAGATGAGCTGGAGAGACTTTTCCTTGGTGTGTGTCTTACACTGCCAGACTGTTTGTTTATACTTTTGCGCTGCTTTACCATCCTAGGAGACAAACCAAAGACAAGTGAGACACAGCACTAAAGACAAACTTCTTAGTCTCTCACTTTATTAAACGAATAAATAGCCAAGTCATTTCAACACTGATGTGACTGAACAGAACACATCAGGTTTGAAAGGAAACCCCCACCTGTAAGCACCTATATTTTTACAATGGCTTCACTGCAAACCACACACTGAACGTGAATTTCAGTGTGGCAGTAAATGCTGAGAACAAAGAATAAAACAGTAGGTAACCTGTTTGCACTATTGTGTTCAAACAGTAAGTCTCAAGACTCCAACCCACAAATTAACGTGTGATGATTAAAATAATAACAAGCAATGGGAATAAATTGCAAGAGGGAAATTAGACTGGATATTAGGAAGGGTTTTCCCCATGAGGGTGGTGAGACACTGTCCCAGGTTGCCCAGGGAGGCTGTGGCTGCCCCAACCCTGGCAGTGTTCACAGCCAGGTTGGCTAAAGCCTTGAGCAACCTGCTCTGGTGGGAGGTGTCCCTGCCCAGGGCAGGGGGTTGGGGCTGGATGATCTCTAAGCTCCATTCCAACCCTTTCACATACTATGATGCTATGAAAAATGCTTACTTAGAAGATTGATCTCTGAAGGACATGTTTCCAGCATAAGAGCTGTCATGAAGGGAATCACCTTGTCCATCATCTGCTTTACCATATCCTGCAGCAGCTAACCGTAAACTACGCCGTGACATCCTTGGGGAGTCAAACACTGGATCTATTTTGTTCTCAGTCTCAAAATCCAAAGCAGATGAAGAATAACTTGAACTGCAGTAAAATAAGAAGAGCAAAGTTACTAGGGGAATTTTCAACCTGATAACAAACATGCCCTTTAAGCAAGTTTCCACTGGAAGCAGTTTATTCAGGGTTATGGTGCAATTCCCACAAGACAGGCCCATGTACCCAAGTAATCCAGACATGTGTAGGTATTCAAGGTTCTCCCAAGCAATTCACATCACGATTTTAACAACTGAAAGCAAAACACAGTTAGGAACAAACAACCACCATGGAAACCACGTTTGAAGTACAGCCAGAGCAGCATTCCTTCTTTTGGAACCAATCTGAGAGTCGAAGCCGTTCATGACTCAGTTGCTTCACCACACCTAGCAGCAAATGAAAAATCATGACACACTAAGTCGCAAGGTAAAGAATAATTTTTAGCCAATTTTTGTCTATTTTTTTTGTTTGCCAATTCCTTGTTTTGAGAACCAAAGATTACTCTGAATTTCCATCTCCTAACAAGTAGGAACTTCCTCCCTTTTAGGGTACTTAAAGACTTCCTTACTTTAGCTACTTCAGTTTAACTGCCATTCCTTTCTCTTTTAAAGCGATTTAAAAAGATTTTAGTTTAATGCAAATCATTAAAAATATTTAACTCTGAACAAACAAAACCATGTTTAGTGTCTTTAATCTGTGTGTTTACACACAGACAACCTTGACAGCATCACCCCAGGAACTCCACACTTCAGCACTTGATTCTCCCAGAACATCCATGAAAACTTATGCTGAAGACAAAGCAGCAGCACAAGGCAAACACAAACAGATTAAACCAAGGAGTCTGTAAGAAATGCATTTACTAAAGCAGCAGTTTAGCCTAAAGCAGAATGCTCATACTTGCAACCAGAGGAAACATTCAGTTATGTAAGTGAGCAGAGACTGTTGGCACAGGGCACTGAGCAGCAGGGGGAGCCACTCAGCCCTGTGACCCACAGCATCCAAACACTAAGTGCCCTGGTCCAGCTTTCATGAGCAGTCTGTCCCCTCTGGGGCCACAGAGATAGAACAGCAGTTACTTCAGGGTTCCTGAGGTTTTCATTTGGTTTTTCAAAAGAAGAGCTGAGCAAGGTATTGTAATGACACCAGCTCCTTCTCCCCCAAACCCAAACAAAAGCACACAAGCAAATTAGATCTGAATGAGTAGATTCTACTGTACAGTCTGTGCTTGAAATGGAAGCTTTCCCTTTACGAAATACACATAAACAGGTACTATAAAATGTGTTTGTGTCAAAACAATTTAATGGCAATAGTTTCCTTACACAATCAAAGATCCCAGAACACCACAAAGTAATAATATGGTAATTATTGGATTACTTTGGCATACAAGTCAGTTAACATCACAAGGCCTTGAAGCTATACTTGCAGTAGTGATGTAATTCTGACAAGGTGATGCTTTTCAACTGAGTTTCATGATTGCTCCACAATGCAAAGTAAAGCACGTAAGGTGGAACTGTGTCAGAGCACACAAACTGCATTTCCTTCAGAAAAAAACCCTAACCCAGACAAGGCTCTGCAGGAACACAGCTCCAGCAGCAGCAGTGACCACTCAGCCCACAGGACCAGGGCAGAATCTGTCCAGAGTAACTTCCTCCACAGCCCAGAGCTACCCAGATTTGATGGCACTGTGTGCTTGGCCCTGCTCACCCTGCCACGTGCAGTGCAGCTCTGTGCACAGCTCAGGACAAACCCAGCACACATTACTACATACATTAGGCTGGTTAATCCTTGCTTACATTTAGCTGGAAGGGAGAGAAGAAATAAGACACGGTTTCCTATGTAAAAAGAAGATTTTGCACCTAACCAAATGTAGCCTAAAGGATCTAATTTTTACAGCTTTCAGAAATACCAAGTTTAGGTAACTTGCACTGTGACAGTGAGAACACAGGTTATACATGGCTCCTCCTGTTCTCAAAGGATCACAGTCACAACAGTTTGCTATTGAGTGCCTCCCTAAACACTTGTTTCAGAACTCAGTTTTGCTATTTACACTTGCCACTACACATTTGCTTTTCCTCAGCTTCACCCAATGTTTCTTACAGATACTCAATTCACAAGAACACAAAGTACACAGGACGAGCTGACAGCTGTGACCAGCCTCGATTTGTTTCTGTTTATGAACACTTGCTGTTACCAAGTATCTCAATGAGCATTTATGTCAGTGTGGGTTGAACACATAGCTTGGAGTTGAGCCCCACCATCTAAAAAAAAAAAAAGTGCATCATGGAATCTTTTCCTCTTTAAACAAAGACAGCTTCTCTCTCACTTGGGAAGGATGATTCTCTTCACATTATCTGTTCTCTGTTGGCAGGAGAGTACCCAGAAGTCTCCTAACTTGCCATCTACTTTCTAAAGTGCAAAGTGGACTTTCTTCTTTTGCAGAAAAGATGACAATAAATATAAAAACCACCGTCTTTCGATTCCATGGACAGAAATTAACCTGCACATTGATGGTATTCCTATCCAATATGGACAGCCAAAGGAGGGATGCAATTAATCTACACTCCCAGACAACCTACACAAACAGTCCTGACTTTGGCTCCTTCCCCCAGCCCACAGCTCCCATGGCTGCTGGCAGAGCTGCTGACTGAACCTAATCCTACATTTCCAGCTTCTTAGATGGAAATTATTATTACATTAATAGCACCTTCACATGAGCCTCTACAAAGTAAGAATGTTCTAGACTTCAGTGGGTTAATTTTCAAGCTATAAATATGGAAGTGGAACGAGAACAAGGTCTGCCAATTTTAGCACAGCTCCAGCTTTGTCTGTAGACCTTAAGTGTCATTTATTTATAAGTATTCCTTGGAATGAAATGGGCAGTGATGATGTTGATTATTCAAGATGATAGATGAATACAAGAGAGAGAATCCAGCTAAACAGACATCATCTAACATGGACACAGGCATCTAACCAGCTCACAAATACCTTTCTGACCAGGGCATTACGTACACCAAGTGACCAAGGACACTGCTCTGAGTTGTTAGTTATTGCTTTGATCAGTCCCACAACATACATAAAACCCCCAAAGGATTTTATTCAACTATTTGGCAGAAAGTTCCCTCCTGATTGAATGCTCTGACACAGGGAAAGAAAAAAAAAGTTCAAACCAAATTCTTATTGATTTATTCCATATTTGTGGAGAAGTGTTAAAGGCATCAAATTGACAACACAACTCAGAAGATGATGGTGACTAAAAGGGAAGACAATCCTTAAGAGGAGGTTGTAAATTATATGTTGACAAGTGGGTGAGATTCACAGGTTTGACTTGCATTTGGAGGAGGATAAAGATTATTTAGGTAGATCAGTTTAATGTTTTTCTGGTTTGGGCTGGAGGAGTAAAAGCACAAAGCAGAAGCACTATAGTTATGAACACACAGCAAACCCAGTGAGTATTAATATAAATTCTATTAATAAGTCACAGCCAACTCTATTAATAGCTCTGTGGTATCAAACCTCACTGCACTGATTTCTGCAGTGCTACATCACCAGCCAATTTCTTTCAAGAAATTCACAGTACAGATTGAACTGTCAAAGGCAGAACAAACCGGATCACAATATAAGCAAAATAAACAGAGGTGAGGGGAGAGAAGGAATAAACTTTGAGAGGAAAATATAGCTGATTAGCTACTCTAACACTCCCTTTCCTCAGAGTCTTCAGATATCGCTTGACTCAAGGCAGGAAGAGCTACAATACACATCCTCCTGCACAGATTCTGCAGCAGACACACCACAAGAGTCTGCTCAAAAGACTGCAGTTTGCTCTCCTGACACCCTGAAAGCAGTTGCTGTACCACCCAGTTTTGCCCCATTTTTTTAATATTTGGGGCTCCACAGAATTTTTGCAAGAGGAAATTTTAAGGAAACTGCTTGCCAATCCTTCCTTTCCACACTAGGAAGAACTGCAATGAATTTGTTTCAGCCTAGTTTAACCATACTTGCCTTCATTAACTCTGTTATTCAACTTCAGACTGTCCAGCTCTAGACATTTCTGAATACCTATGCCCAATACAGTTTGACACAGCTGGAAAGTTTCCAGACATGAAACCCTCCCCCTTCATAACCTCTCAGTTATGCAAAACAACAGCCTTAATTTCTGTAGAAGACAAACACTCCAGTTGTCTTCTACACAAATCCCATCAAAGCCATAAGGAACTATCCTCCAGATGTACAATAGGGTTTATGTCTCTGCATTTTCCTTTCTTCTTGCCCGTACTGGATGTAAGTTGTTGTTGGATCTGAGTTTTGGACAAGAATACCACAGGAGCAAAGATTAACCTGCCAGGAGTTAAAATATTATAGCCAATCTTTAAGGTACATTTGCAACACTTGAGTAGCTAAAAACACTCAGGAACGTAATAGTGACACTGCTGACTGGTACAAGACATTTAAATCATCTTTCATTGCCTACATGCTCTACTTGAAATGAGGAAATCCACTTGTATCTGATCAACATTTTACCAATGGTTTTCAGAAAATCCAGGAAGAATTGCAAGTCAATTGATGCAACATGAAACACATCACATTTTGCAACACCACTGAAAAGCCACAATCCCCAATAAAAACTGACAATGCTACAGTTTTAGAGGACACAAAACAAGAGTATTAGGTCAGTGATCTCTTTATTCTACAGTTCTGCCAACTTCTGTTTTATTGGCAAGTAGCCAAGTGTTATCTGACCTATACACTGTGTTTTAACACACAATATAGAATGAATTATAGACACAGAATAGAAAGGCAATCTTATACTGAGTCCCAATTACTCCACTTTAAATTAGCTAAACCAGTCATTCAGGCTCACTGATAAATACTTGCTTCAAAGTGCATCTACTAACTCATCAACATGAAAAGCTTGAGAGATTAAAACAGCAACAACCTGTTCTGTTAATACTACAACAACTCAAATGAGCATCACAACATTTATATTGAATACATAACACAAAACCCAGCAAACACACACCAGAGTTAGTTTTTAGAAGTGATTTCAGAAAATCCAGTAATGGTTAGTTTAATACAAAGGCACAAGAAAAAGCAAATTCATTAGAACACAGATTTTACATGCACACAACAAAGCAGTTTTGCTAAAAGAGAAGGAATCAATACGTTACTTCCAGCCAAGTTCCATAGTAGCAGCAATGAGTGTGTGTCCGTCACTGGTTTAAAGTGAAAATAGTCTCAAGTCACAGGAAAAAAGCACACACAGAAGTTACAGGACAGAAAACATCTAAGAATTTTAGTGACATATTTACAGAAATCAAACGGCAGTTGTAACTAGGTGGGTACTAGGTATCCATGGCAACTAATCAACACTGAGTCATTGTCTTAGTCATTGTCCTGTTAGCTCAATGCATTTTCTTTCCTCCGTTGAGGACAGCAGTTGCTTTCACACCACACAGATAAAGCTGCTTCAAAGAACTCAGCTACTTACCAGGAAAGCTAAACTCTCCGGAATTAACAACATTCAGAGAACATGCAGTTTCTCTACAAGAAGAAAAGAGTTCTCACCTGAGTGCGTATGTATAGCCAGTGTTCTCTGGCAGACATTGGGGAGGAGTGTACGTGTGTAGACGTGAAAAGTCCATGTTGACTGTTTCAAATCATACTGTAAAAGGTGAAAATAAAGCAATGCAATGACTTAAAATGACGTAAAGCCAATGGAAGAGCCCTTGCACTGTTCAGCCTGTGTCATTAGGTATTGAAATCAAACTGCTGTTAGCAGAAACATGGAGCTCTCAGCATTGGAGCAGCATTGCTCCCTTATCATCTCAGCA